AGTGTAATTGTTAATTAAACTAAGCCCCCCGCATCCACTTGGTCACTCCCCTCCGGTGGGATGGAGGAGAGAATCAGAAGGGTAAAAATAAGAAAACTAATGGCTTGAGAAAAAGGCAGTTTAATAGGTAAAGTAAAAGCTGCACATGCAAGTAAAGCAAAACAAGGAATTCATTCGCCACTTCCCATCGGAAGACAGGTGTTCACCACCTCTGAGAAGGCTGGGCTCCATCACACATAGCAATACGTAGGAAGACAAACACCATAACTCCGAATGTCCCTCTCTTCCTTCATCTTCCCCTAGCTTTATTGCTGAGCATGACATCATATGCTATGGAATACCTCTCTGGTCAGTTGGGGTCAGCTGTCCTGCCTGTGTCCCTTCCCAGATCCTTGTGCACCCTCAGTCTGCTCACTACTGGGGTGGGGTGAGGAGCAGAAAAGACCTTGGTGCTGTGTAATCACTGCTCAGCAGTAAAGAAAACGCCTGTGTAATCAACACGGTTTTCAGCACAAATCTAACCAGAGCCCCATACTAGCTACTAGGAAGAAAATTAACTCTATCCCAGTGTTTTGCCAATTGACGGGGTTAACACAAAGGACACAGGCACCAAGCTAAAGAAATAGCCTTATTTTACTTTAGTTTAAAGCAGCAGAAAGAACAAGCAAGGTAACACACCTAGTCATTACTACATAAAGATGGCTATAGTGATTAAGAAAGATCCATCACCAATTGCCCTCCTACTTTACCATCCCCCCGACCCGTGCATCAGCTGGGGAGCCCCGTCCCAGCGAAGGGTCGCAGAGCCTTTCCCGGCAGCTGGGAAGTCCCACGCAGGGCGTCCGCTCGTAGGGGAGGTCTGCGTCTGTGCTGGGAGAGGGCCCGGCTTTTGTACAGTTTAACAAACAAGTCTAAACAAAACGCACAGGAGATATCTGGTAGATTGACATGCCTCACTCAGGTGTGTCTGGATCTGGCCAGGATCTGGGCACGTCTGAGGAGTTTCTGTTTTTCTCTACATTTGGGATTTATAGTTACTTCCTATTGTTTACTTATAGTTCCCAGGGATTGTTCCCAGGGTTGCATTTCATGCTGATCAGATGCTGGTTGCTTCATGATGCTGATAAGATGCTGGTTGCTGGTCGGGGAATTCACTCAGAAGTCAACTTTGGTTTGAGGCCGATTGTTTGGGCCTTTTTTTGTTTCACCCAGCCAAAACCAGCACAGGTAGCTTCTCCGGTGTGTCCAGTGAACACAGGCACAGAGCTGACACTAGTTCTTCAGGTCTCTGGCAGGAGGCCTGGCTGTGCAAGGACACTGCTGCACACCCCATCCCGCGCACTCACACTGTTCACCGGTGTTTTCATCTGCCGGACAATTTCTTGGGCACATTCTTGAGATCAGCTTTGGAACAAGACCTGCGCCCTCGGGCAGTGCCCCGAGAAGATCACCTTTCTTCTTGGAAACGCTGTTGTGGAGGCCAGCTCTGTCCCAGAGGTGCCTTCTGCCTGTCCCTGCCTGCGGTCACAGAGCTCCCACCCGGCAGGACGGGGACCAAGCTGCCAGAGCACGCAGACCTTTTACCAAACCAAACAGGTCAGAAGGAGAGTGTGGAAGTGAAAAGAGAACAGCTTTGGAAGACCAGTTGGTCTCTGGCAATCCTGCCACGATGGGACTCTTCCCCTCCAACTCTCCACATAGGAGTTGTTCCTGCAGCTCTGAAAGGGTCTTGGAGGAAGGATCTCAGAAAAAAAAAAAAAAAAGTTACTGCAGGGCCCTTTATTTTGTTCAAACACACAGAGAGCACAGCTCCTCATTTACAGAGCCACTCGGTCAGAAAAGCAAAGCAGACAGTGAATTGGGAAGGGGATGACAACATCATTACAAGTCAGATACCAACAAGAACAAAAGAAAATGCAGATGATGGGCTGGGCCTGTAATGAGTTGCATTGTAACTGTTGTGCAAAAGAAGATGAAGAGTTTATTGCTGTTTAAAAGCATCAGGTCATCTATTTCCTCAGTGCATCTTTGAGCTCCTGGTTCCTCATGCTGTAGGTGAGGGGGTTCACTGCTGGAGGCAGCACCGAGTACAGAAATGACACCACCAGGTCCAGGGATGGGGAGGAGATGGATGGGGGTTTCAGGTAGGCAGAGATGGCAGTGCTGATAAACAGGGAGAGCACGGCCAGGTGAGGGAGGCACGTGGAGAAGGCTTTGTGCCGTCGCTGCTCAGAGGGGATCCTCAGCACGGTCCTGAAGATCTGCACGTAGGAAAAAAGAATAACTATAAACCACCCAAATGCTATAGAGACACCAGCCACAAAAAGTCCAACTTCCTTGAGGTAGTCAGAGTCTGAGGAGAGCTTGAGGATCTGGGGGATTTCACAGAAGAACTGGTCCAGAACATTGTCATTGGCAGAGCGGTTGTGAGAATGTGTTGGCAGCGTGCGGGAGAGAATTGAGCAGCCCAGTGCCCCAGGCAGCTGCTGCCATGTGGACACAAGCTCTGCTGCCCAGGAGGGTCCCGTAGTGCAGGGGTTGGCAATGGCAACGTAGCGGTCATAGGACATGACGGTGAGAAGGGAATATTCTGATGATATCAAAAATAGAAACAGAATTACTTGGGCAGCACATCCCGGCTGGGAGATGTCCCTGTTGTCCCAGAGGGAATTGGCCGTGGCTTTGGGCAGAGTGGTGGAGATGGAGCCCAGGTTTCTGCAAATGCCAGGAGGAGGAACTGGGTGATGGAGCTGCTGTTGGACATTTGTTCACTCTGCGGATGGAGGATGGTTGAAAGAGAAGAAGACATAAGCAAGTTAGGGCAGACTTATTTTACTCAACCCTATTCTATTTCCCCCCAAATCCTCCAGAAGTTATTTCTCTTTCTTTGAGGGAACTTCCTTTCATTCCTTTTCGTGAGGTCAGGTTTGTGCTGCTGCTGAGGACGCTTTCTCTGAAGGGGCAGAAATCCTTAACTTTCATATTGCTCTCAGCCTGAACACGGGAGCCCTGAAGGACAAACTAACTCCCTGTGTCCTAGCGCAGAGCCAGGAGGGCTGGTCTGCCCACGAGTGACCTGCTGGTCACCACAGAGGTACCCTGTGCTCACACATCCCTCCATTGGGGGATGCTATCACTAAAAACTGTGCTTGGAAGCATCCAGTTTTCAAGTCCATTTCTCCAAACTGTTCTCTCTTTCCTTGCACAGCTGAGCAGGGGGGGATGCAGAGGCGTGTCCCGACTCTCTGCTGTCTTTAGCTGCCACAGCCAGGAGCCTTTTCTCTGTCCCCATGTCACCTCCTTGTCAGTGCTCACAGCCCCCATCCCACTCGCTGTGTGCTCAGCTCTGCCCTGAAGACCAAGGGGCATCTCCCTGTTCGCAGGTCCTAATGAGTAGGTCAGACAAGCACTTGATGTCTCTCCTTCCCCCCACAGCTTCTCCCCACAGCGCCGTGGGGAGCTCCCCGGGCAGGCTGAGTGCTGACCCTGGCAGGAGGCAGAGTCCCTGCCCCAGCACACAGCCCCCTGGGGTGCAGTTCAACGCATGAGGCGCTGGTTGGATGGTCGCATCCAGAGGGTAGTGGTCAATGGCCAGTGGTCCAGATGGATATCAGCGACGAGTGATGACCCTCAGGAGTCCGTGTTGGGAGCAGCACTGTTTAATATCTTAGTCAGTGACATAGATGGTGGGATCAAGTTAACCATCAGCAAGTTTGCAAACACCACCAAGCTGAGTGGTGCAGCTGATACACCTGAGGGATGGCATGCCATCCAGAGGGACCTGGACAAATGAATCCCTGAGAGTCCATGTGAAACTCGTGAGGTTCAACAAGACCAATTGCAAGGTTGTGCACATGGGTCGGAGCAATCCCCAGTATCGATACAAACTGGAGGATGAATGGACTGAGAGCAGCCATGCTGAGATGCGCTTGGGAGTACTGGTGGATGAAAAGCTGCGAGCAGTGAGGTTTGCTCCTCGTCATTGTCTCAATGTTTACTCTGTCAGGTCTGTGTCCTGGTACATTTTGGTGTCTGATTTCCCCATTTTTCATTGGTTTCCCGATTGCCATTTCCTGCCCTGACACCACAGTCCATGCACAAGCCACAGGATGATGGTGCCCATCAGCCCCAATTGCATTCCGCTGCCCTGGGGAATCTCCGATCCCACCAGAGCCCCTGGTAAATATTCCCCTGCAGTCAACCCCGCTGAAGAGATGAAATCATAGAATCCTAGAATCATGTTGGTTGGCAAAGACCCTTGAGGTCATCCTGAAGATAATCACATGCAGTGGTGGGAGGGAAAACTTCCTAATGTAAAAGTGGGTGATACATCAGTGCATGCCTGGAGAGCTGAAGCCACAGTCAAGAGGTAACGAACACAAAGCCCCACAAAGCCTGGCCACACTTGTCGGGGGATGGGGGCAGGTCTGGTGCCCGTGTGCTGCCTTCCTGGCCTGTGGTGGGGCTGAGGGGGCCCCAGAGAGAGGGGCATGAGCTGGGGGTCTGGGAAGGCGCATGGGCCCAGCATGGGGCTCTGACATCTCCTGTCAAGTCAGGACTGTCGAGTCCAAGGGAGAGGGACCCACTGCCCTTCCCAGCGCGGGGCAGAGGATCCAGGGGTCCGGGCTGCCTGTCCATGTTCTCTTGCCCCGACACCAAATTGTCCTCTTTGGGGGACAGTGCTCACTGGAGCCCTGGTAAGGACCTGTTCCCTGCTGTGCCTCCAAAACACCAGCTGCCCCAAGGGCTGACACCGTCTGCGCCTTCCCTTCTCCCAGCCTCATGGCGGGGATGCTCCAGTTTGCCCGAATCCGCCCTTCCCTGGGGGCACATGCTGGGTGGGAAGAGGATCTCCTTTACGGAGACACTCCAGGTGTCCGGGCTCCTTCAGTCCGTCAGCTCACCGATGTGGTGCAACCAGAGAGGACCGAGGCATCTGGGTGATGGCAGAGGAGAGGGGATATGGACACAGACATGGACGCACACAAACAAGCAGAGCGTAGCATTGCTGAAGGGGTTTATTGATCGTTAGAGGGAAATGGCCCAGGGCTCACAGGGGAACAGGTGGGGTCATCCAGGGATGATCATCTCCTCATGCCACTGGAGGGAGACAGGTCCAGACTGCCACCAGCATCTTCAGTCCTGAAAGATAGAGCCCAAAGATAGTGTCCTCTGGAACCTAAGAGGTTCTTGTCCCCACCATCGGTCTCTGAAGAGTCCTGGGGAAGGAGGAGGGCATTGGAGCCCTCATTCTACCCAGGAGAGGAAGTGGCTCTCCTGAGACCCATATGGCACCCAGAGCCCCTTGCCCAGTGAGTCATTACCCCGGGATGCCCTTAAATCTCCCATAGCCCTGCCCAGCCCTCACGGTGACCCTGGGGGTCAGTATGGCACCGGAGCTCCTGCCTGGCCGGCACGGTGAGCCTCTGGGTCCGTAGAGCCCCACGGAGTGCCAGGAAAGGCATGGGGTCAGCTCTGTCCAGCTCAGCCTGGGACGTGGATCAGGGCGAGTCCCCTCTGTTTCCCTCTCCCATACCCAAGGTCTGCCCACCCCTGAGGGCCCAGGGGTCCCCTGGGGTCCAGGCTCCTTTGTGGGGCTGGAGATGTCCCGATGTTGCTCACCTAGACTTCAACAGCTGCAGCCAGGCGTTTCTGGCGCACAAATTCCATCAGCTTGTCATCCATAAGGGGCTGTGGAGAAAGAGATGGTTAGGGACATGCTTGGTGGCACTGGGGTGTACTGGGAGGCGGGTGAGATCAATGGGGTCCTTGGGGAAGGTGCCTCTGGGGACACATGGGGTACGTGAGTTTGTATGGTGGTGCGCAAAAAGCAGTGGGGGTCCTGGGGAAGGCGTTCTCCTGCGTGCGTGACTGTGCAGTGGGGCTTTCTGGGGTGTACTGGGTTGTAATGGGATGGATGGGAATGCAATGGAGCCTCAGGGAGCAGGGGCTTCCCTGGGAAAACACTGGGGTGCAAGGGTGTTTTCTGGGGTTGTACTGGGCTACACTGGGGTGCACTGGGATGTCCTGGAGTGTCATGTCCATGGAGGGGAGGGTCTGGGTCCAACAGAACTCATGGTGCCCACCTCAGCTCTCTTCACTTTCCCGAATTTGAGAAACTGCACCTGTAGAGAGACCATGAGACCTCACTGGTCACTGTGATGTCCCCAGTCCCAGCAAGGGATGGGAGAACAAAATTGTCCTCCTGTTGTCCAGACCGTGCGCCCTCTAAGTCCACCACACTACTTACCTCTCTCTCATAATTTTCACCTTCTTTCACGAATGCCTAGGGAAGAAGAGGAAAGATGTTATCTAGATTGGACCTTGGAGGGGCGGTGGGTGGGTCACAGGTGTACCCCCATCCACCCAGGCTGGGGAGAGAGACAAGGATAGCAAGGGGAATACTGGGCCTCTAAAGAGGGTGGGGATGGAGGCGAACCAAAGGTAGGGCACTGGGCAGAATTATCAGACTTCAAGAGACTGGGCTGGGGGTGTTGATGTGACAGGACTGCATGGGATGCAAATGTGGGGAAATGATTACAAATGGAAGGGACATAGGGTCTTCAAGCGTGGTAGTTGGTGGGGACAGAAGGAAGAGGATTACAGAGGACCAAACTGATGTGATTAGGAGAGTGTCTGGGAGTGGGGGGTTCAAGGAAGAGGATATGGGGACACTACCACAGTGGAAAGGATGTAAGGCAAAGGACTGAGGGGAGAGATGGAAAGAAAGGTAGTGGGAGCAGCAAAAGGGAGGGATTTGTTGACCCTTGGTTGGACGAGGAGGATATCCTTTGGAGAGATGTCTGAGGGGAAAGAAAGGATGGGATGGGGATGTGCAAAAGAGAGAGAGATGGGGGCACCAAGTACAAGAAAATGGTCTGGGCCCTCAGAGGATTTTGTAGTGGACCCTCTCAGGGAATGGAGAGGACTGGTCATTCAGTGAAGAACACGGGTTCCGAACACAAAAAGATTAACTGCGGGGAAGTAGGGGAACAGATGTAATTGTGGGAGGGACAAAGCTGAATGCCCAGGGCTGGAGGTGCAAAAGAGCATGGAGGAGCCCCTGGGTGGGAAAGGGAAAAGCCAAAGCCAGGGGGTTCGTGCTCACCACTACAATTCTGTTCCTGCAGCCCAGACCCATTCCCACCCATGAGCCCCTCCTCGTGGTATTGGGGACTCACCTGAGCATCTTCTGGAGTGCACAGCAGGATGGTGAAGAGCAGGGCCACGCTGAGCATTGCGACCTTCATCTTCCTCTGTGGTGCGGTGAGTGTTGGGTGAAGATGGAGAAGGTGAGGGGCAGATTTATTCCATCCATGACTCCTCCTTTTTCCTCCCGAGAGCCCCCAGGGCAAAGCCAGGCTTGGCAGAGACACCAGCCCTGGCAACAAGCCCAGCCCAGGCACAGAGTCACCCCCGCCTCCGGCACGGATCCAGGACACCTTCCTCAGCATCAGTCCAGCTTCCTGCACGGGGCAGCTGCTCATGGATGGGCCCTGGCATCTGGGGGTTGTTAGGGAGAGCACACAGAGCACCCCTAACAGCCTGAACACCCTACGGTGATGCCCCACTCTTCCAACATTAAACCATCATCCAGCTTCCTCCCACAGCCAGATCTCTGCATCTTCCAGTGCCCCTCACCTCTCATCACTGCCATCTGCCAGTGCTGCCCACCTCCCAGGGCAATCTTTCTCTCCAGGACTCCACCAGAGGTGATGCCAGCCTCAAATTAGGAGACTCGCAGAGTGATCTTGAACTGTTTTCCATCCCCTTGGGTAAAGCTGGGGCTGGGACTGACCCCTATTCTCAGAGCACCAGGGACCAAGGATTAGGGAACTCTGGAAAGTGGGAGGACAGCTGGGCACATGGGAACAGCAAGGTGACTGGGATCTTCAGTCACTGGAGGCACTGGGGAGCACTTGTGAGTACTGGGCACTGGGAGACAAGGCTTTGGCTTGGGGGCAGTGCTGGGGTGGTCACGGTGCCCAGCTCCAGCCCACCCCATCCCCTTTGCACTGCGGGCTTCAAACGGATCCAGCCTGCAGCCACGGCCTCCCCAGGGCGGAGAGCAGAAGGGAATATCCCCTGCCCCTGCCCCTGCCCCTGCCCCTGCCCCTGCCCGCGGCCACCGTGCCCTCCCAGACAGCCTGGGTCCCACTCTGCAGAGCTGTCCCCGGACGGTGGGTGCCGGTGACTCTGTGCCTCTGGCTCCAGCCCCGTCCTGGCTGGGACTCGGACACAGCTCACCCGAGGGCCTTGACCCCACCGAGTGTCCCTTCAATGCTCTCATCCTTGGCCCAGGCCAGCTCTGTCCCCGAGCAGGATGTGGCCGTCCAGAGGGACTCGATGAAGTGGGTGCTTGTCCCCGGGCAGCCACTCAGAGCTAATTGCAGGGACAGAGCCGCCCTGGCGAGAGGAGGGAGGTTTGTCCCCGCAGCATCTCTGATAAGCCGTGTTTGCCCCGAGCCTGTGGCACAAGGAGCCCGTTCAGACAGCTTGGGGCTTGCTGACAGAACAGAACTTAGAGCTGCCCGGGTGATGGGGCTGCCTCCCCAGGGCCACCGCGTCCCTTTCCCTCTCCCCACCTCGCCTGCCCTGCAGCTATCCCGGCCTTTCCAGGGTGGTTTCCTTTGCAGCACCCCCGGCCCAAGCATCACCGTCCTGGTGGCGCTGGGCAGTGTCCTCTGGCCAGGCTCGGGCAGGGGCAGGGGGGGCTTGTACACGAGGGGTTCATTACTCCACGCTGAGTGGGGAGAGCCGCTGGGTGAAGCTGCTGTCCTGGCTTGCACCAGCCCGGCACGACCTTTCCCATCCACCCGGCACCGGTGCGCTGGTTCTGTCTGGTGATGACACTCACCCGACCTGCCACCACCGCTCTCTTCGAGGATGCAGGTGCCTCAGGAAGCAAAGGAAAGAGCGGGGTCCCCTGTTAGCAGGGACATACCCATGATGGAGACAGGCAGAGTTGGATCAACAAGCTCAGGCAGCCCTGTTTTACCTCCCTGTAGATGCACACAGCTATCAGAAGAGACAGATTGCAGGGCAGATATTTATTTATTTCTGCATACCAAGAAGAGGGCATTTTTCCTGGTGGTGTGAGCTAGAACTGGAAGGAGATCGGGCCAGTAAGGTCAGTGTCGGGAGGTGCAGCATGTAATTATTTGTGTCTTTCAATTGCTGGCGGTCAGAAGTAACCGCAGGTAATGACCAGCAAATGCAGCGGCCGCACTGAGCGACAGCAGCACTGAAGGCATTGGGCTCGTTGCCTCTGCTGAGTGCCTGGGACATCCACTTTATGACAGCAGAGCCACGAACACTTTCTAAGGCTGGCGTGTTCCTCCGTAAGCTCATCCTCTGTTTGCTATGTGCCACAGTAATTCAAGCTGCCACGCTGTGCTTCCCAATCACCATTCACTTTCACAACCTTCCAGCAGTCCGTTTCACACGTCTGAAAGTAAAATAGTTCTCTGGTCTAGTCCTCTGCCTAGGAGGGTGTGAGGGTCATTTATTTTTGTGAGGCACAAGCTGGGAATCAAAGGCTGGTGGCAACAATCTGGTTCAGGTTTTGAAGTCAGTGGGAGGTTTGCCTGAGTTTCGGTGAATCCAAGGTGTCACTGGGTTTGTTCCCGTGGTGAGTCAGACTCCTGTCACGGCTTCAACGAAATAAAAGTACACTGATAAGTCTTTCACAAGATACGTAAATGGCTCAGATTCTTCTCTGACATTATATGTCATTTTAAATTACCTCTGGTTATATCTTTACAGGATATGAAACTATATATCTTTACGGGACACTAGCTATAAAGAAGAGATCTGTTGTGGATCAGCCTGTGAAAATAATTTAGGCAACTGACTTGAATATTTGCTTTGGAAATTGCCCAAAGAGCAAAATCCACGGGAAGATTTTCTTCTTGACTGCTTCTGCTTTGTGTGCCATATATTAGAGAGTTAAGTAACGGTGCTGAATTATTTATCATATTTAAATAAACTGTGATGTTATTTGTTTTCTGAACTTACTTTGAAAAGAATTGATGAATTGTATGCACTGTCATTACTGAGGGTTTATTGACTTGGGAGAGGTCAAGGCCGCCTTTGAGATAAGTGCAAATCAGGTGAATGGCATTTGATAGCCACTTAACATTAAAGGTGCTATTCAGGACAATCCCACCTACTGGTTGTATCACATCTATATGGACACGCTCCTTTCTTTTGTGACAGTAGCATATTCAAAAAATAAAATGTCATGAGTTTGCTGGTTTGAGAATGAGGCATCTTTGTTTTTGACAATGAGATGCATCTCCCCTGCTGCGTTGTAGGAAACCCAGGGATGGAGACAGGGAGGGAGACCAATGAAGGCAGCCAGGAAAGGGGAGGAGAAGGGATGGGGGCAGAGAGGGAGGGGGAGAGGCAGCTCTGCAGCACTGGCCGGCATGTCAGTGGGGACAGACAGACAGTGCGGGCCCTTTTTGCTACACATTTATGTCTTGCTTCCCATCTCTGAGAGCCCTCCAGTTCCAAGTGTCCCATAGTACCCGCAGAGTGTGAGGGGAAGGACGGGATTTGGCGGGGAGTCTCTGTCCTTCTCTACTATCTTTGGCTGGGACAGAGTTAACGGCAGAGTTGACCAGAGCGTGTTAGAGGGAACTAAGAATTTCTGTGATAGCTGTTTAACAGTTGCTGCTCATGATATTGAATTATCTGGGCTCAACATTAGTTTATCTGATCGGTGCAATGCTCCCTTTTCTTTTGTACATGTTAAAGGCTGGGTTTGGCTTTTGCATTTTGCTGTGCTCTGTAGTGCTTGGTGGTGTTTTGCCTGGGAGGTGTACTGTAAAAGCACAGGCCTTGAGCTTAATCTGGGATTGGACCTCTGCACTGATGCCATTACTCTGTGAATCATCGCATGGTGACAATTAACAATTACACTTTTTCCTGTTCCTACTCCAAGAGTTTTTCAGTTAAGGAAGCAGAGAACGGCACCTTCACCACCTTCTTCTATGTGTCAGCTATTTACTCCCTCATTATAATAACTCTTCAGTATGTTGAACATCCATGGGGAACCAAAACTACTCCTATTAGTACTTCTCCAGAATTTTTTTCAGCTTTTTCTAGCATTAACCAACCATGTAGGAATATCACTAATATATATTAATATTTCTAATATATATTAAAGGTAAGTCAGGGACAGGAGACATTATTATAGAGATCTGCTACACACCACTCGACCAGGGAGACCACCGGATGAGGCTGTCTATAGACAGATAGGAGCAGCCTCACATTCACTAGCCCTGGTCCTCATGGGACACTTCAACCACACTGATATCTGTTTGAGGGACAACACTGCAGTTCATAAGCAATTCAACAGGTTCTTGGAATACACTGATGATAAATTCCTTTTCCAAGTGATAGAGGAACCATCAAGGAGAGGGGCTATGCTGGACCTTGTTCTCACCAACAAGGAGGGGCTGATGGGGAGTGTGAAGATTAAGGGCAGCCTTGGCTGCAGTGACCAATAGATGGTGGAACTCCAGATCCTTAGGGCAGGAAGGAGGATGCGCAGCAAGCTCAGTACCCTGGACTTCAGGAGAGCAGCCTTTGACCTCCTCGGGGATCTGCTTGGTAAGGTAACATGGGATAAAGCCCTGGAGAGAAGAGGAGCCCAAGAAAGCTGGTTGATATTTGACGATCACCTCCTCCAAGCTCAGGGGAGATGCATCCCAACAAGGAGGAAGTCAGGTAAGAACAGCAGGAGGCTGAGTGGAAGAACAAGGAGCTTTTGGACACAAAAAGGAATCCTACAGAGTGTAGAAGCAAGGTTGGGTAGCCTGGGAGGGTTACAGAGAAAGTGTCTGCGTAGGCAGGGATAAGGTTAGGAAGGCCAAAGCCCTGATAGAATTAAATCTGTCCAGGGATATCAATGCTAACAACTAAAGCTCTTACAGCTACATCGGTTATAGAAGGAAGACTAGGGAAACTGTGGGCCCTTTATGAAAGGAAACAGGAGACCTGGTTGCCCAGGATATCAAGAAGGCAGAGATACTCAAGAACTTCTTTGCCTCCTTCTTCACTGGCAAGGGCTCCAGTCACACCACTGAAGTCACAGAAGGCAAAAGGGCGGGTAGGGAGAATGAAGAACCACCCACTGTAGAAGAAAATCGGGTTCAAGATCATGTAAGGAACAAGTATGTGAGAC